CCATCTTGACAAATGCAAACACATACACATATATCAGCTGATGAGTCTCTGAATATATAAACATATATCTATACTCCTGACATTAATAATGCAAATGTGAACAGGGTCCAAAATTAACACTTTCCAAGCACCAAATTTAAGCATAAATTGGCTTTGGCGAGAAAATAAAACACTTAAAAAAAGAAAAGGAGGCAAAAAAAAGCAACACAGGCCACAGTTTTAATTAAGTAAATGAAGAGGGAAAAAATGGTCTTAATTAATGAAAGCTTTTAGCTAGCAGCTGCACCGGGGAATAGTACGGTTTTGAGAATCACACGGATGTCGACTTGGTAAATTCCAGTCTTTTGTCTTAGGCAGAGTGTTTGTCCAATAAGCCTCATGGGCAGGGGGAGGTGGGTGCGATGGAATCTTTTTTTCTTTTTTTCGTTCTTCCTCTGTCTCTCGCCTTTTCTTTAATCTCCCTCGGCACGCTGCTGCATGCGCTTGATGGTCGTTAATCTTGAGAAAAGTCCCGACCAACAGCCGCAAAAAAACAAATCATAAAGAGTTTTCTCTTTTTGTGTTCAGATAGGAGTTTTAGAATTTTTCATCTTTGATGTTAGCTGCAAAAGCTAGCTAAAAACAAACATTAATGGGATGATGATCCCCACATTTGCTGATATGCGAAGGACAGTGTCTCATTGGAAGGTCTAATAAAGTGTCAGTACGCTGGATTACCCTAATGCATTTAATGAGATACAAAGTGCCCAGGATCCATCTTGACAAATGCAAACACATACACATATATCAGCTGATGAGTCTCTGAATATATAAACATATATCTATACTCCTGACATTAATAATGCAAATGTGAACAGGGTCCAAAATTAACACTTTCCAAGCACCAAATTTAAGCATAAATTGGCTTTGGCGAGAAAATAAAACACTTTGCCAGTTGGCCACTAGCAATCTGTTAGAATGGTTCCTGATGTAGCTGAAGAAAGCGATTAAAATCAAAAAGGTACTATCATCTACCAATAATGTTACATTTTTTTCCGTAGTAATACTGGGATATGTTTTTGGTCTCCACAGCTATATATATATATATATATATACACATGTTGCCGGGTAACAAAGAGTAGTCATCATAAGAATTGCCGGCGGTCATGCCTATCCATCATTAGGGGGCACTCTCGTGCGTCTGAGCAGTGCAGTGAGAAAAATGGAAAGAAAGAGAGTGTTTTATTTTCGGGGAAACGGTTTATGATTGGGGGCATCCCGGGCACGAGTGAGTTGAAGTGCGTGGACTGGAAAACAACACCGTCTGTTGTTTGGACAGGGAAAAAAAAGGGAAAAAATCTTTTATTTTTTTTTATAAAAAAATAATTTTTTCATTCCTCTAATCAAAATGTTGTTGTGTGATTGTTTTTCTTATGTTCTCAACATCACTTTCCATGTCATAATTTATATAATTTATTTTCCATGTTATAATCCCTTTAAACTATCAAAAGCAACTTCCTTACTGACATCATCCTCCAGGAAGTGACAAAAATTTGGTGGAAAAAGCAAAAGCACAAAAATCAATAATTCCTAGCAATGGATTTGATCAATTCTGCGATGGTTTATGCTATTCATTAACATTCTTATTTGAAAAATAATTACTGAAATATGTATCATTTAAAAGTTCAAACAAAAATATGTGAATTCGGTTAGTTTCCATGCTCGTGTAAGCAAGTAAATAATCAAGTTTAAATAATTAAATAAATAAATTTCCTATAAATACTTCCTTAAATGACAACATTAGCAAATTCAAACTTTAAAAGTTACAAAGTTCTAAAGGTAATGCAGAACAGAAAGGACCCAGCAAGGAAAGAGATGTAGGGATGCTTTGGATTTTGTGTTGTTGCGCGTGTGCATTAAAAAAAGCGAGTGAAAGAGGCAGAGAGTTTATGTTCACAGCTCTCTTTATCCTTTTCATGCTCCTTTGCCCTCTCTTGTTTACCCAGGCTGCACTGTAAAGAGGCACAGGGCTGGTGGTGGCGGAGGCGTTCTCTGACTCTTTTCATTGGTACCGATTTGGAACTAATTCCTCCAAGATGGGCCTTACTTCTTCCTTTATTTATTTATTAACCTCCAACACTTCCCTTCTTCATTTGTTGACTTTCCCTACAAACACACGCTTGCAAATGAGGGCCTGTGGGGAGCAGATAAGGCAGGCCGAGCCGGGTGCCGAGGGCACAGACTGAGAGAGGAGAAAAGAGGAGAGAGGGGGGAAATCCTGGGCCCAGACATGCTATTACATATGGAAATACTATCGGATCTGACCAGGTTTTTGTCGTCCGGGATTATTACAACATCAAAGGTCAGGCCAGCTCAGTGGAGTGAGAGAGCCGAGCGGAGGGGATTTTAACTGCTTGTGACAGACAGTGCAGACAAGGGTGGCTGGGAATCCCCGTAACACCCCAGCTGGGCCGGGCTACTTAACCTGCAGCTTAACCGGGCAGCGGGAATGACCCACTCCAAAGTAAACCTGGATAGCTAGTTCCAGCCGTACTAAACAAGAGTGATTTTTCTCCTTTAAAATGGTTTCCGTTAGATAATTAAGGGATGGTTCACTAAAAATGAAAATTCTGTCATTTACTCATCCTCTGTGACTTTCTTTCTTCTGCGGAACACAAAAGAATATATTGAAGTGTTAAAAAAGAGTTTTTGTAATCGTAAATAAAACAGATTATTGGAGTATGTTTTACAAGAAAATAATATTTCAGTTCCCCTTCAGGAACTCGAGCTGCGTCGAGATCGCTTTGGGAACGCCCTTGCGTGACCGCGTTCTGAAGCACGTGTCAAATCCGTCCAATGGAGCAGCGAGACGTCTTTCAAAATTTCATGTTTAATTGAAATTGTGTTATTTGCTGTTTCTTTGTAATTGATTGTGAAATTTACTAACATTTTCTGAATGAAAATTGTTTCTACACCATTTTTTTTTCTGTGTGTGAAAAATTTTCACAACTAAACAGAGTTGGTGACTATTTACTTCCATTGTCTGGACAAAAAAAAAGACATTTTTCAAAATATCTTCCTTTATGTTCCACAGAAGAAAAATGTTTACAGGTTTGGAACAACATGAGATGAAACACAAAATGATTCATAAAAATGATTCATTTTTGTGTTAACTATCCCTTTAAGCAATATTTTTTTAAAGGACAGCTATGCTTCTGTCATCATTCTGTTGCTCCAATACCACATGACTTTCATTCGTCTGGGGAACCCAAAAGAAGATATTTAGAAAAGTCACAGTGTTTGCTTTTGTTCATACAATGAAATTCAGTGGGATCTAATGTGGTTTTGAACTCCACTGACTTTGTATGGACCAAAACAGTTGATAAATTCTTCAAAATATATATTTTTTTTGTGTTCCGCAGAAGAAAGAAGTCATGAGCGTGAGTAAATGATAACAGAATTAATACTCTGTTAAGAGGTGAGTTCAGGAGTCTGTATCATTTAAACACTTACTTTTAAACCCATCCACCCTGAAATATCAAATTAGAGTGCGAAACGCAGAGCTGAACGACAAGCGATGCAGAAAGAGGTGGAGAGAGAAAAGGAGAGCTGGAGCGAAAGAGGGGACGAGGGAAGGGGGCTGAAATAAGTGCGGTGGAATGCCAGTCTTGTCACCTGCTCTGATGTGGATCTGTGCTTGGCTCTGATAAATCTTACATTATCTGGGCTCTTCAGGCTGGCAGGCAGGGCCGTGCCTTATCAGCACTGACACGCTCAATCTTGCCTAGATTAAACCAGTGCCTGGCCTGATCCAACCTGACAGGGTCCCCACAGGTCCTGGATAAATTACTGACAACCCTGTACCACCTCCGTCTTCACACACACACACACACACACACACACAGATACACCCCTGTGGCCTGAAGTGAGTAAGTTAAGTGGTTACGGAAATTCAGGTTGAATTCAAGTTCAAAGGGCGAGAGTGTATCAAAGATAGGGAAGCAAAGTCTAAACGATCTAATTTAACCCAGTTTAATAAGAGAGCAGATCTGTAAACTCATTCCGGGCTTTCAGAGCTGAGGAAACACTTTTCAGAATGACTTCAGAACTCAAATACAGTTAAAAGTTGCAGTGCATAAGGCCTTAAAATACATGTTGTGTGTACTCATAACCATTATTATTTGAAATCAGAGAAAGGTTAATGTTTTTAATCTTAATATGTCAAATAATGAGGTAAGACCCAATGAATGGCTTGATAAATGCATTTTTTTATTACAGTATATTGACATATTTCTTTTTGAAACAGGGCAGGACTTTTTATCTGAAAGCACTTATATACTTTCATGTATAAACATCCATTTATACTGTGTGAGATAAAATATTAAGTACAATATAATAAAGAAAAATAAATAAATTTTTATTCCCAAGACTAAATAAATGGCTTTTTATACTCTCACTGTGTGGAAACCAAAGCAAAGTCATTGTCTACATTCAATTTTTTTTCTTTTTCTTCTTACTTTTTAAAACTAGGGCTGTTTTTAAAAAGCAGAATGAAAGAATAACATTCTCAAATTTGGTAGAAGCATTAAAAAACATTGTTTTAAACATTAAATATGTTAACACGTTAACTTTGTCAGCCCCAAAAATATATTTTTTATTTTTCAAGTTAACCTGGATAGCTAGCTCCATTCGTATTCAAAAAGTGTGATTTTCCTCAACTCAAATGATTTCCATTAGATGATTAAGGGATGGTTCACTGTTTGGCATCTCAGAAAATTCGGTAACACTTTACTTGAAGGGGTGTGCATAAGACTGACATGACACCTTCATAATCATGACATGACACATGTCATGAATATGAAGGAGGTTTTATGCATGTTTATGACAACTGTCATTAAGAATCAACATTATTTAGATGCATTCAAAACTAATATACATAGCCACAAATCACCAGTGTTGAATAGATGGGGTCTTTTAAGCATCAACCAATTAACAAAAGACAAACAGAAAGCACAAGACTCTTACCTGTCACTGTAGGCCGCTGCAGCTGCTGCGGCTGGTTGGGCATATCTGTATGCTGCATAGCCACCCTGTCAATTACATAAGGGCATCCGTCAGACACATGCAAACAGCAGGGCATCAGTGACATGACATTTTACACAATACAATACAACTGGACTGTTCATACATTAAACCGTCTCTTTTCAGATCCTAACAATGCAGTGAATCCCAAAAGCTCAGTTACAACCTTAAGAGTGCTGCTGAAAGGCCCTGTCAATGCTCACTAAAATGAATGCTGAGTGATTTAGGTGGTATTTAGTTTGCCAATACAGCTTTTTGTGAAGCCTTTTTGTTTAATGGGGAATTGTCAGATTGACTGCATTAGCTCTTCATATAGATCTCGTCACAGATGCCTAACAGCCCGAGTCCAAAAGTGAACCATCTGAGATTCTTCACTTATCTACACTGAGCGCACCAATAGCGGTGCAACCAACGACTTGTCTTCCCAGTGTGCATCAATCCCATCAATTGAAATGGCAGAGCTGGGCAACTATCGATCAGCATGGTAAGTGGCAATCTGGTATAAACAATTAAAATCAGTCAATGTTTGCTTACTGCGAATGAACCAAATGGAAGATTTGGCTGAAGCTATTGAAGGGGCCTTTTAATTAATGTGGCTGGCCAATACGAGTCTCCTGGCTCGATGCCCAGGGGAGCGGTCTTGACACACACAACGTGCTCATCCGTGGCTGGAGAACGGCACACGATAACACTAAATATTGCTTGTATAAGCATTAGATGACATCCGACAAAGCTATTAATTGCTCCATTCAAGCTAGCTATTAATAGCCGCGTTGTAAGCAGCATCAAATTACATTAGCCGAGATTGTTAGCCGCAACAACCAAGCGTCATCTGCTAGTCTTCTCGGGGTGATGTTTTGTGAACGCTTACACTCCAAACATGCCAAGCTTTAAACGACAGGGAATGTATTTGCTGTAAGCGAGTATCTAAGTGGCTGGGGTGTCTATTGAAGTGTCTGTTTTAATGGAACGCAGTTCTGCTCTTTGTTATTTTAGCTCGCTGACATCACTGGTACATTATGTGAATAATCGCGGTGCCAGAGCGCGTGCAGGACTGAGGCATCGCAGATACAGGACTGCACGCTGAATTATAGATGCTCTCATTTATTTTTCAGCTCGGGATTAATGTCCGGTGCTACTCTGCTAAGATCAAATGTTTAGCTACTGGAGTCGAAGAAAAATCAGGTCACAGAAGATTGTGTACATGAATACTTTAGAAGTTACAGCTTCCTAGTTCCGGTGGTTTCACCGGCTCACACAGATGGATTTAAAGGGATAGATCAACCACATACGATCTTTATGTCATTATTTACTCCATTATTTGTTCCAAACCTGTTTGCTGTATTTTTGTGGAAGGCAAAATAAATAAATTAATTAAAATGTATGTGGTTGATCTATCCCTTTAAATTCTTTTTCAAGATTTTGACCATTGCCTGCCACAAAAACACTGTAAATTCTCAAGCTTGACATCATGGCATTCAGTTACGAAATATCTGAAAACCAGTAATGTTTAAGGTTACTGATGTCCAACCTGCACCATAAAAGGCATATTTGAGATTCACAGCGGAGTCGAATAAAATCAGTGAATAATTACTTATTTTGAATAATGAATCTTTTCATTACACAAAGCTATTGTATCACTTTGTAAGGCTTATACAGTACCGTTTAAAAGTAAATATTTTTCAATATTTTTGCAAATTAAAAGACCTTTTCTATTCAAATATATTTTTAAAAGTAATGTAATTCCTGTGATGGCAAAGCTGAATTTTCAGCAGCTATTACTCTAGTCTTCAGTGTCACATGATCTTTGAAAAATCATTCTAATATGCTGATTTGGTTCTCCAGAAACATTATTATCAATGTTGAAAACATTAATGTTCTGCTCAGTATTTTATGAAACCCGTGATACATTTTTTCAGGATTCTGAAAAAACTGCATTTAGAAACTGCATTTATTTGAAATAGAAACCTATGTAACATTATAATTATTTACACACTTTTGATCAATTTAATGCATCCTAGCTGAATAAAAGTATTAATATTATTATTTTTTTTAAAAATCTTACTGACTTTTGAACGGTAGTGTATATACTGAACTGAGTCTTAAGGACTACATTAACAGTGCTCTTTTAGAGTTTTTTAGCACCTGATCACTATAAACTGTTATTGTATGTGAAGAAAACTTCAATTGGTTATATGGTGAAGATCTATTAAATATTCAACAGCCAGGTTTGGAATGACATGAGAACGAGTAATCTTTATTTGAACTATTCCTTTATAAATTATCTAAACTTTAGGTTACTTGAAAAGTTAATGGGGTGGTCCATAGAGATGGATTCTGACTTTATTGGCAAGCAAAAATGTGCTACGTGCATTCTTCAAAATCTGTTAGACTTTGAGATCTATCTGGGACTGTAGCCACGGACCTGGCTACCAGTTTGCAAACTTGGCGGCAAACATACTATTGTGCGTGCCAGGTAAAGGCATCGCAGTTATGTCCACGTTCATTTGATTTGTCTTGTTTTAGATCTAAATGTTGAATTAATTTCCATTTTTCATGCAGTGAAATAATCCTGGGAAAGGGAGGCACACTCTCTGATCACCTGACTGACTAATATGTTCTGAAGGCTTGTCAAAAGCAATAGGGCCTGGGCACAATCTCGGGCTGTAGCGTGAGGCCTTTGGGCTGTATATTAATGGAAGCTGAGGGAAAGGCGGATCAAACGCGTGCCATAAATTAAAAGAAAAACACTGTAACGTCGTCTTCATCAACTTGATCAGACATGATTTTGCACCCACTAAGAGCAAAACCAGGCAGCAGTGGAGATAAAATGTGGAAGAATGAGACGTTAAGTAATCTATGCGTAGGGGGGTTCGTTTTTGGTTCATTCCACACTGTACATGTTAGAATTATCCTAAAATCCATAGCGATCAACTACAGCCTTCAAAGGAAGCCAAGTTGGAAGTGGTTGAGCCATGTGTGATTTCACTGTGCCATGTAACCGTATGCACAAGGGACGCCAACAAGGCTTTTAGTACACCACAAACGGCCATCCTGGTGGATTTGCACATGATAACCTGAGCTGACCCTTGGCCTTATGAAAGATTCAGCAGCAGCTGTTCAGGTTAGGCTCAGCGAACGTGAGCAACGCGAGCGCCATGTCCTCAACGTTTTATTCAACCCTTCCTTCTTTTACAGAAACAGTGGAAAAAGCATTGGAATGGGAGGAAAAACGAGTATACTCACATAGATCTCAGCACCGTAGAAGCCATCTTGGTAAACCACACTGCAAAAACACAACAAGAAATAACAAAACACAATACATCAATGCCGAACATCCATAGAGTTTCTTTGCGCTGTATAGAAAAGATTATGCAGCGATGCATTCATTGGGCAGACAAAACAATGCACTCCAGACTGTGTGGAAGGGAAAAAAATTAGCAGATTAGGAAAGACGGACATTTTCTGTGCTTAGAGAAAAACAATGTTGCTTTATAATGGGCTTTGCTCTGTCTTGTCACTGGGGAAAACCGGTAGGGCTCGCCATTAGAGTGTAACACACTTTATAGCCATCAAGCGGTCATGTTGCAGGTTAAGGCTGTAGCAAATATAATGTGAAAATGGCCCTTTGATAACAGTGTTTTAAGTGCTGAATTTTACGTAATAACAGCCTCAGGCTTGGACGGAAAGAAAGCGAGCCATTTGTAGATAATATATGTGCATGTTTTGGGTGAAGGGTTACTCACGCTCCGTAAGCAGGAATGGGAGGGGATGGAGGCACGGCGCGGAACGTGTTGTAGACTGCACGACCTCTGCCTCTCAAGTGGGCGCCCCTGTAAGCCACCGTTGCCCCTGTGGTCGGATAGGGGAAGCCTGTCACTGGAAGAAAAGGAGAGAAGAAAGAAGTTGACATAAGCTTTTGCTTCTAAGAGGCGCACCTGTCACCACCAATCAGCTTTCAGTTGGTAGTGTGACAACAGACTGTCATCCTAAAATGTGATGCTTTAAAACAACTCCGATGGATGTCAAGCGGTGCGTCATGTTGGCACAACACATCAAGCATGGCAGCATGATACAGCCAGTGATTCTCAACTGGTTTTGCTTCAGGACCCAGATTTGTGGCAACCTGATACAGTTAAAAGTGTGTTTATCCTACAAAGGTAAAATAAAAATGTCCTTCAAAATCAAATGGTGATATTTTTTAAAGGTGCGCTATTGAATTCTGAGATTTCTGACGACATCTGTGGTTGAAACATAAAATTGCAAGTTACTTGTGGAAACTAATACGCAATTAATTAGCTTCATGTTATGGCAGATAATTGATAAACAATCAATATTGAAATTACATTAAAACATTACATTACATTAAATTAAAATATATAAAATTAGTATATTATAAATAATTAAATAACAAAAATATATTACAAATATTAAAATAAATATATTAAGTTAATATAAATATTAAACATTTGACAAATATGGAATTCTGGGCTTACTGTCAACATCTGTGGCTGGAACATAAAATTGCAAGTTACTTTATTAAACTTCTGGCTGATACGATAAGCCGATAATTATTTTCATGTTAATGAAAGATAATTGGAAAATGATTGATATTAAAATAATATTAAAATAAATATTACATTAACATATTTAAAATTATACTAAATGAATTTAAAAACGTTTTAAAATAAATATATTAAATTAATAAAAAAAAATTAATATTAAAATATATGATTAATATTAAAATGCTAAAATGTGTTACTGAAAATGCCATGTAAATGCTATATTAGTGAATTTAGGGATGACAACATTATAATGTACTGTATGAAAAATGGATATCCATTTAGAGATTTGCTAAAGATTACATTTAACTGAATTATGAAATATTTTTAATTTTGAGAGTTTTTAAAGATTAACCTTAAGTGATCATTACATGATGGCAAAGGTAATCTAAATCTAAAAAAAAAAAAAAAAAAACTCTAATAAAACTTCTGTGCCATCAAGTAGCATTTTGAAA